GAAATCGCAATGGTAGGATATTATATAGAATTTAAGAGTTAGAAAGGAATAATTGGGTAAGAAAACAGCATTAAAATACTCAAGGAAAAATAGGAGGTTGGTTATCTAGAAAACTAAGATGGTCACACCAAAGAGTTTCCTGTTTCAAGAAGCAGGTCCTGTTTATTTGGGTTCCAAGCAAAGTCTGGCACAACTGAGAACAAAGATACTTTGGCGCTGTTGGTGCTATAGGTTCTTAGCTTCTGCACGTCATGCTTTATTGTTCAAAGAAGGTTAGTTCTGGAAATTTGCCGTCAGTTTTTTAAGCAGTATAAAGAAAAACAAAATCCATAATGAGTCCATGAAGAATAGATTCATCTTTAAAAAACACTCTCTTTCATATACAATTTCAGTTTTTACTCAGGTTCCTAATTTGCTAATTTTTTAATAGTATACTTCAAAGTACTTGTAGACTGCTTTACAATGACATTCTGCCAAGGTCGTCAAAAAATTACTTCATCACTTCCAAGGTCATGGTAAGACATTTCATGAACCAACCTTTCTTATAAAAAAGCCTCAATTAAAGTATTTAAAAATATTTAAGTAATATTAATAATCTAATCTGACAGCATAGTATGCATTTCACTCTTTTCATGGATTTTTTCGAGTTTTTAAAAGACAAAGAGGAAATGTTACTGCAGGTATTAGCATGTACACAGAATTACAGATTCAAAGTATGCCGCTGATCTGTCTGATGTTTCAAAATATGAAAAAGAATCATAAATTGCTATGGTATTGTTAGAATAGTAGTAGGGGTGGTAGTCATAATAACTAAAGGGAGGAGAAAACCTAAAAGCTTACCCATTCTAAGGAGGAAAAAATCAATAATCGCTGCCTCTGTGTTTAGAAGGATGAAAATGAACCCAAATTCTAAACAAAGTGATATTTAACAGTTTGACAATCTACATTTCAGTACATGCATTTAAAGCCAACTGATGTACAAGAACAGACACAGGACAGAGGGCTCTGTCCAACTACCTCTAGATTGCCCTCGTATGTATTTTACTCTTTCCTACTACTAGAATTCTTGACACAGGAAGCCGGCCAAGCTCCCCTCCCCCACATCTCAGCAAGAGCGTGCTCCATAACAATAGTTCAAAGGAAAGCTCTATTCTGCACTTGCACTGATTGTTCTGTCAGCTGACCTCTGCAGAAGGGAATTGCTAACCGCTGCCTTGCTCCTTAGCTGACAAATGAATGATCGCAGCTCCATCTATTTTCACTATGGCTGCCTCTAGCCCAGGTGCTCAGACAGAGAGCCCGGTGTGACATCTTAGATCAAGATGAATTGGCACAAACTCCTGATCCAAGATTGTTTTATACCATTTAATTTAGTTTCTTCCCCTGCTTGGATGAGCACAGCTCTGGTTATGGATTTCTATTCTAATGTCCTGAAGCAGGCCCTGAAAGAAGCCAGTGAAGCAGCTGCTGGAGCAAGAGACTGCAGGGATACCGATCAATAGGCAAGGCATTGACCCCAGCCGTTCAGCCTCTGCAACGGCCACTGCTGGAAGGGGGAGGGGGACCCAGAGGCACACATGGGCTGCTTCCAGGAGGAAACTGAACAACAGGGGCATTTGGAGAGCTCCACCTCCAGCCCTGGTGCCCCACCTTCTCTATGTTCCTTTTGTTTAATTACCTCAATCTTGTCTTAAGACCCACTTCTCGGGAAGGAGTGATGACTTCAGGGAAGTTTTAATAATGTGCTTTCAAACAGTCACTTGTAAATTTTATCTTAAAGCTAATAGGAAGAATCCTAACAGGTGCCCTCTGCTAAGTGCCCAAAATATGAAGAGTTAATTAGTTGTCAAGTACATCACTTGATGTAACTGAAAGTTTGGCATATGCACAGTCCCCTAAGAACACTGTCCAACTAGCTATTAATATTACTAATGCTGAAATTGTATATGTAATTTTTATCAGTACACTCAGATCTGAAACCATGCTAGCTCTTCGTTAACAAGAAAAGCAAAAACAGATCCCCTAAAAGAGACATTGACTGATGAGTAATTGTATAAGGTACAGATGCCCACCCTACTACTATTCTAAGAATACCATAGCAATTTCTGATTCTTTTTCAGATTTTGAAACATTTTAAATTACTGGGTTTGCCTGTGCTTTGTCTTAAATATTACATGAAATATATAATTAGCTGCAATGTTGTCCTATAAAGTGACACCCAAATGGAAGATTTTGAGAACTTCAAAATACAATAATTCTGTAAAAGTAGACCTTCCTACAGTTTCATTTGTCTGATGAAAGTCTGGTATTTTTTTCACAGAGACATGCCTCCATTTAATCATGCTAAAGGGTTGACATGGAGATCCATTTTCTTGACAGGACTGTTGATCACCCTATCCCAGTAAGAAAATTAATACCTTCAACTAGTCCTGTGTAGAAAACAGAAGCTACATGTAATGGCAAAGAACGTAAGTGATCTACATTTTAAGTTGCAAACAGAAGTCTCATTCTGTGTGAATAATGTTTCCTCATTACTGGGCTACTTTTAACAAAATATGAGCCTTTGATTTTATTAAAACAATGACTTAACTCATACAGGTTCCCCAAAAGTACATAATTGTCTTTAGATTCAGCATAATTGATTCTAGATTTAGACGAACAGGAGTAAACACTTTACTTACAGCTTAACTAGAACACAGGTAAAATATTTGAAAAGTTTAAGCTATTTAAAGGGCTGTGAGATATTGATTACTTCATTTAAAAAGCAGTCAGAGAGTGCAACCAAGAGGTCAAGATAAATTTAACAGTTTGAAGCACTTTACTAAATAACTCTAAAGATCATGTTAATTGGCTTTGTGCAGTTTCAGGGTAAAATTAATTTTAACCTAGCTTACAATAAAAGGATTAAAAGACATATTAAGTTCTTCAGTTTTAACTGGAATAGGAATCAATGGATTTGAATTAAGGCTAAAGGCGGTTTTATGAGAGATGGACTACCTGCAGATACTTCATATCTGCTATTAGCCATATATTGATGGAGCTCTGTTATTGTTTTCAGTATTAAATCCTAGATAAGAAGATGCCAACAATTTACTTCTCTGAGAATATAGTTTAAGAACTATGTGATTTGATCTGGAAAAACTGTTTTCAAAAATTTGATTCCTTGTTTAGCATTAAGTATCAGAATACTTTTTACAGGTTTATGTATGTTTGACATTTAAAATTCTAGTAAAATTTAATGAAGCAATGTGGTTGAGCTCAGTCACAGTTCACTTTAAGACTATAACTGTATTTTTAAAAGATTTAAAACTCTATCATAAACATATAATAGGTTTTTTTAACCAAAACATTATATTCAGAATGATTTGGCATAACCAATTTAATGCCAGAAATCTCTGGGCACATACGTATAACTGAGTCCAAGTGATGCTAACAATGATATGAATATTTTCTGAATTTGACATGAATTTCAATACACCCTAAATACCACTTTGGAAATTCAGAAATTCTATTTATTCATGATGATGAAAATATAATTTTCAGTGTTTTTCTATATTCTTTCAATATTTAATAATATGTTTTGGAATTATATGTATAGCAATGAATTGCTTTTACTATGCACTAGCAAAGCAAAAAATACAATTTGTATTTAATAAGGTATATTATATGAATAGTGACTTTGTAAGACTTAGTATGAATGATCAGAAGAGAGAAGAGAGTATGTTGCAGATATCACAGCAGAAAACTAAAGAGCAGCATGGAGAGACTAATAATTTGGATTAAGATAGGAATTAGTTTCTATTATGGTTCTCCACAACTGTGTTTTATTTAATACAGCGTATTTGTTAATATTAGGTTTTCATTAATCATTAAAGAACAAAGTAAATTTACCAAGGTGAACTTTGTTAATATGGGCAATCTTGAGGACAACAGAACTTTCAGAATTAAGATACATGATTTACTATTTACAATGTATGTAGATAGGCTTAATGGTCTTAACATATATATCATTCAAAGCTCTACAAATGTTAGCCAATAAAACTACAAAGATTTATTTCTATTTTCAGACCAGTAAAATATTCTTCTGACTTTTCATCTATTTCTCTTTTCTTGGCCCCAAGAATACTTTAATGTGATGTGACATTATCAGCTGATGCTATGAAAAATGTATATATAAGATTATCATCATATAAGATTATATATTAAGGGAAGATGAGTTAAAAATAGTGTGACAGTGAAATATGTCCAAAATACATTTAGAAACATTTCTGAACATAAACAGAAGTATCTAAAAGAAACTATATCTTCAAAAGCAAGTTGAGTTCAAATTTTTTCTTAGATGTACTTTAATCAGAATAACTTCAGTTTCCTCCTACTATCTAAATTGATGAACCTGGTGGCTTACAGGAATATTAACATTTTTAAGATATGCCTTTAAATAATCACTATATGGTCCTAATCAAATATGTTAACTTTACACCACATATAAGTATATAATTATATGCACAAACAAGTATATAGCATTCTTAGTGCACCAAGACATTAAACATTAAACCTAGGTGAGCTAGAACTATATATTTGAGATTTTTAAAAGGTGTTGTCTATGTTTTAGAATCATAATAAGAAAAATGACCCTCAGTGGAATTTCCACAGTGCAAATAAATTGTTTCCACATATATCTGGCCAGAACATTTTCCACACCTACTTGCTATTCTTAAATCTGATAAAGTACAATGCATAAAAATGTCAGCTTTTGCCAGATACTTAACAGTAATCTTCCAACCAAGCTTTAACAACAGGGAGAAAAATCTTAAAAATTAGCAAACATCTTTTACTATTAATTCAGTTTATAACAATTTGGTTTTAAAAGAATTTAAAATGCTCCAGCTGTCTACTAATTAAACTTCGGTTACCCATTATAGCCCAATTCTTAAACGAATTTGTTAAACAGGAACACAAATAGGCATAGATTGGTGGCAAGTCAATGTGTGAAAAGGACTCAAAGACCTTGTTCTCCAGGTTTCAACAGCTGATGAAGAGAATCTGTGGGTCTATACCATTGCCAATGTATGTAATTAAGTTCTTTTCTTATTCCAAGTGCTTTTATATGAACATTACATCATTTTTTCATTTATTGGCACAACTCAGAGCACTGCAAATCCCGCAACTTTTATAAATTATGGCAAATAAATTTTGACGATATAGAAAAAATTTTAATTGTAGGTAGTCATATGCATGTAAATTTCTACCTGTGCACCTGAAGTAAAAATTAAAGTGCAAGTTCTCTGACTCCTCCTCTCTACCTGCTTGGGAAAAAAAGATAAACTGATTAAAAGTGACAATCACGTGGGCACTTCGACATTTACTTCCAAACTTTCACATTATTACCAAAGCTACTGCGTGTGTGTAGAATACTTTCAGTATTCACGCCGTTAAAAACAGATGTTTTCTGCATTGTAGTAAAAACATTTTAGTTGCTGTTTGACGCATCTGCCAGTGTTTTCCTCACACCTACAGATGGAACACAGGGAAGTCGCTCCCCAAATTTACGAGGCTTTCGCTGTTTTTGTTGCTGCTGCACTATTTTCCCCCCTCACTGGAAAACTGAAGTAAATAAACATGCCACTAATTTGTACGTATGCACGATAGCCCCCTGCTGGAAAGCCAGAGGTCCTGCAAATTCATAGACCTTTCTGAGCTGCTGATTAAGCCATTGAAAAGTAATGCCTCTTGCACATACATATATGTATTGTGAGTGTGTGTGTGTGTGCGCGCCCTTGTGCACATTTGACGAAAATTTTATCCAATCTGTTTTCCACAATATCAGATAAAAATTTTTAAAATTGCCTAATTCAAATGATTTTTTTTTCCCAAGGGAAACAATATTATTACTATCTTGAGCATAGTCCATCTATTTTTTTGATAACTGTAAACCTTAAGCTCTGAGAAAAACTTGTATGCTTTTCAAGTAATTCTTGTAACAATTTCTTATTGTTCACACAGAGAAGTTCTACATCTGTTTTCCCATGATCTGCATTATCGTACTTTTCTCTTTATTCTCTACCTGAACATTAAAAACTCAATTCTTTTTCCTTCTCTTTTTAGTGTAAAGATTCTCAGTTTGGGAGAAACTGAGATTTAAAAAAATTCCAAATATCTAAAACATCTATGTAATCAGAAATCTTGTAGTTAATAATTATCAAGGATCATGTTCAATTCTTGGTTCACTTTACCTTTCAAAGGTCAATCTCAGATACCTGTCAAGTATTAAAAACCACAAATTGTAACTTTAAGAAGACCATTATTGGCTTTTTCATGAGGAAAGAAATCATTCAGAAATAGTGGTTAGTTGCTTGTAAAATTATATGAATCTGAAAACAGCAAATTATTCTCATAAATAATCTTTCTCATACAGTTAATGTTCAGAGAAAGCTTCTGCAATGAGATCTACTTATAAAAATACTGGAGTAGACATAACGTGTTTCTTTAAATGATCAAATGGAACATATGAGATGACATTGTGGACTATTAGAATACCTTCTATGAAGATTTCATACTTCTCACTTTCAACTGCACAGTGAGAAATTAATTGTTACATCTGAGATCATTTTTATTCATAAAATGACAACTCAGGCACTGGATTTACTGAAAAAATATTTTCACCTAGATAATTATCTTCATCAACTCAGTGATCTAAAAGGGATAACTGCCTTGTTCTAACCTTTGAGAAGTTAACATGTATATCTGTTCATTTATAAGAAGTGTTTGTGTTATTCATTTTTCTGAATTACTAAACGTTTACGTCATAATAATGAAACAATGACATGTAACTAAAAATACTGTTTTGAAAAAGTATGCAGTAAATCAGAATTTCTAAGGCATTTCTTGTTTATATTTTTCTCAGTAAATTACTTTATAATGTTTTCTCTGGCTTTGAAAAACAATCACCTTATTTCACATGTTTTTTTTTATCTGTTTTGTTCCCTATAAGTGAAATGTTAATTAGGAATAATGGAGCCGAGTCAGGGTCAACATAATATCTTGGGAATTAATGGCTAGACCTTTGAATGATTAGCAGATTTGAGCAAAGTTGTGGTGGTTAAGCCCAAAGCAAAGTTCTAAGTTTTAATTTACTGATCACATTAATAGATGACCAAGAAAGAAGCTTTAGGAAAAAAAGGGGCAAAAACTAGGCACTTGTGTTCAAAGTCAAAAAGCCATTAACATAATAACCCATAGCCTCAAGCTGTTAAGAATATACTCAGTATTAACCCGCAACCGATAGTAAAAGTAGTACATTTATACCCTAAGGAATATGTATATGTGTAAATGAAATTTATGCCCATTTTTCAGTGAGTTTTCTAAGTAGCTTCAGCTTAAAGAAATGGAAAGTTTATATTGTTATTAGATAGCTACACAGGATTTTCATTTCTGATCTTGTTACATGTTTATGCTTTCATAATTTTTAAGCCACATATGAATAGAATTATGTGCCTTTAAAATTATTATAAATGACTTTATTAATTTACATTTCATCATTTTAAGATGCAGATAACTAGTCTATCAAATTGTCTCAAGTTGTTATTTGGCAAATATTTTTTTTTCACACACCTTTTTTCTGTTGATATATTTTCTTTGTATACCTTCTCAAATAAGCATATTATGAATATTTAAGTTTACTAATACTCTATTTCATGTAACTATTTCATATGATCTCCTGTTAATTAATTAATTCCACTTATAATTTGGATCTGAGTTGCCTATCCGGCACATATCAAACTAAAATAAACCTGAGGCTTGAGTTTTTGCACAGTCCTTCCAAGACTTAACTGAGGAAGGCAAGATGCACGCACCTGGAGATCTTGGAAATCTAAGCCATTGATTTGTTTTCACTATAGATTTGGAAAAGCTACAACTTTTAAAATGAACACTGACAGAAAAATTTAACGTTTTAACCTAAACATGTATGTAGTCAGATATTAGAGTTTGTAAGATGTCATATCATTTTAAAACATTGGTTTCTTATTTTTTAAATCTGTTTCTGCTGCATGATAATTTATAACCATTTCCTCAAAAGTCTACCTAAGTCAAATCATTAGGTTACTTAGGATATGTGAAGAGATAATTTTATAATTTTCATTTATAATCTTCTCTTTTCTTAATTCATCTTTTAAATAGACACCGAGATACTTTCATATGTAAAACTTAGAAAATACACGTATACTGATGTTGGATAAACACATAAGCGTAGGATGGTTCTTATTGTACTTAACTGCTCTGAGATTTTCTGGCAGAAAAAAAGAAAAAGAAATACCAGATCAAGGGAAGATAAAATTTACTGACAACTCTTGCCACCACTGCCACAAGACCACCAGGGTCAGCACCGCAAACTGCCAGAATACGAGTTCAACACAGGTAGGTGAAAACAACCTAAAGCAAGAATTTAACATGTACTTAAGATTTTTCTCAAATAAAATCGTTTCTCTTATTGTAAAAGAAAAAACTGAATAATTTCTCTAGTACTTTATCCCATGTTTTTGACTTCTACAAAATACTCAAATAATAAGACACAGTATTGGCTTATGATAAAACAACAGCAACTCAAAATTTGTCAATGGTAAAAGGTTCCCCATTTAAAACACAGAAACAACAGAAAAACCTCAAGTCCATCTTTCAAATAATCAGAAAAATATTAGGCCCACATAAATTCCATCTGCTGCCTTGGGGTACTTCACATATCTACTAATATTGTATTTGTTATAACATAATTTTATGTTGACTACAATCACTTTCCAAATTCTTCTGCAAAGCTGATATACCATAAAAAATTTAAAAGGAAAAGAAAACAAATCAGAAGCAGAGTTTGTAAAACATCTCATAGGTCCAAGATTAGGAGACTGTTAGTGTGGAATTTTGGAGGAAATGGGGATCATAGATCTCTTCTAATCAAAGCAATGCCCATATTTTATAAGTAAGAAAGGTCACGTAGTTAGGTGTTCAAGTGACAAGGTGAAGGGCACAAAGAGTAGAGACTCACAGAGACATCATTCCAAATTGACCTCCAAAACCTTCATGGGCCTATATGTCAGTGTTTGTTGCAAAGAGAAACTAGTTAATATTTGACACCTGCTCCAAGACAAATATCCATTCAGTATCTTCAAATCCTGCATAATTAAAAATGTTTCTCAAAAAAATAACAAGCAAACCAAATTTATAATTAGAGAAAATTCTTAAAATAAGTTTTGGACTATACTGTCTAATAACGGTACATATATATTTTCTACATAAAAAATTGGGGGGAGAAACTCTATCAAGTATATGAAGTAACTAGATTAAATTGGATTTTACATGGAATGCATACATAGAATATTGAAACATACTGAAAAAATGCAAAGTACCACACATAAACATTACCGTTCAGAGACCAAATATTTAAGTAATGTATTATTTAACAGCCATGTCATCCACAGAAACATCAACAATCTCCACAGAAGAAAAATGTCTTCAAATGCAATACATGGAGGAAAATACTACTAATTGAAATGATCACTTTTAGTTGCCTCTACATAAGCCTCCCTGTAAGTTAATTTCTACTATAAGCTCACATGCACAACTAGTTTCAAAACTGACATACTGGGCTCCCAAGATATTGCAAATAAATTCATGATCATTTCCAAAGTTCATGTCATAATATCAGAGAATAGCTTAGAGTCACCATAAGGGTTAAGACAATCATTTTCTACTGCATACTAGTGCTATTCTAAGCCGATAGTGTGTTTAAATCCACACCAATGAAATCAATACAGCACTGTTCTATTCAAGGTGAGACCAAATAAACCTGTCTGAAGCTTTGAGAAATAGGCTTTGCAGTATACTTTGAGTGCTAAATGCCTTTCAGTCTAGAGATCTGTCATTAAATAATCATTAGCTATCATTCACTCTTCCTAAAAAGCTTAACATCTAAACTTGTTCAGCACCCACTAAAGCATTAGTATAGACTACCAAGTAAGTACTCATTAGCACTTAGGGACGTTTCAACCGTTCTGTTTATCCATGCCTTTCTTATCAAAAAATAGCCCAAAATATTAATACATATTTTACTACTGGATCAGAAGACAATTTATACAAAGGATTAGTAAAAAGGACATCAACATAATGATCAGCCTCTTTTGTACAAGGCAACTCTGAGTTACAGTCAACTCTGTCCTGTCTGATTTATCCAAATAAAAACTGATGCCTTTCCTACCATTCAGCATAATATATAATTCAGCATCACATATAAGCCAAATAAAATTAAGTTAATCACAACAGAGAATTCATCAGGAAGTAATCTTGGCTTTAATCCTGAATGTATTTCAAAAGAATCCTTCTTTTATCAATGCTATTTATATCTCACTTTCAATATATGATCATCTCAATTGCTGAATATCTACTATGATGGATCCTGCATTATTTTAGATATGAGGTAGAGAGAGAAAATCAAGATATATTTATCTTCTATTACCTGAAATATTAAACAAATAACAGCAAATGATCCATATTTAGTAATGTTATTGGACCATATGCATAAATTGGATGGTCAAAGTAATTTTCTCTGTACTTAAAAGAAGTTAATTCTTATATTCTATCATACTAATCCTCTCAATTTCAAGCTAATATTAGTGAAAATATCATTTCTGAAGACATTAATTTATTCTTCATTTTTAAAAGTTCATATAAAAATATATGGCCAGATACTTATGATCTCATCTACAATTTTACAACTTATCACTTTCAATTTTTATACAGATTTCAGTCTCAATGATGATGATGATATTATATGAACATTTTATTTAAGTGGATGACATCTGACATTTTCCCAGGAATACTTCAATAACTAAATACAAAACAAAAGTATTCTTTTAGCTATTAGTACTTTCAAATGCCAAGTACACATTTTATAAATATAAACTATAATATTTAGAAACTTTCCAGTATTCTACTTATCATTCCATGCAATCTATGACTTTCATTTTTCTCTCAATATCCCAACATAAAGTTTCAAGATACAAACAAGTTCAATACAATATTTACCAAACTATCCAAGTAATATCATAATATTATATCTTAATTATAAAATATTTCAAGGCTCAGATATTAAAGAAGGTAATACAAAACCAAATCTCACTCTTGATGGTCAAATTTTCTCTTACATGCAGCACTGAGAAACACATTCAATGTATTATGGAATATAAAATAGCCTTTCCTTTTTACTTTTTAAGATTCACCAATAGTTACACTGAACAATCAAATAGTTAAAAAACAAAGTAATGGTACAGTCATTATAAAGAGAAAAGGTGTTTTGGAAAAATGCAAGAAAAATAGTAAAACTAAAACTCATCTATTTATACAGAAGTATAATGTGCAGAAAACTAGAAAAATGGGAATATCCAAAATTAGCATGAATGTTGTGAATAAAAATTAGTCAAACCTTCTTAGAAGAGCCTTGAATCTAAAAAAATTTGAAAAGAGTTTTACAATAAATAAAAACATACAGTTTTGCAATGTAATAATTTGCCAGAAAATGTAACATTTTTTTCAAAAATGTGTAATTTACAAAATTTGCAACACTGAACTTGACTCTGATCTCACCTCCCCTGAAATGAGTAAACTTTCAGAACCTCAGGTAAATTCTTGTTTTTAATCTACAAAACAGTGCTAGCAAAGTCAGGAAGGTCTGACCAAGTGCTTTCACTCCTTTCAGAATCTATACCAAAAATCTCTTACTGCTAATCTTTTACTGACTATGGAATCAATATTTATAACTTACCATCTATCCTAAATTTTAAGTAATAAGATTTTATTATCATTACAGCTATTTAATTAAAACAAGATTGATTTATTATCTCTACAATTAAATTTACCCTTTTTTAAAGGTAAAAATAAGAAAAGGGATTTATTTGCCTTCTCTAACAATAAAAATATTTTGTATACACTAAACACCTAGTTATGAAAGAGAAACAAAATGTTGTTTTCAAATAATTCATGCCTTTAAAGATATGTTAGATTAACTGTTAATACGAAAACATGATCAATAATAGCAATTCATTCTGACTCTAAAATCTCACTGGATATAGGTGAAACTTCAATAAAAGCAGTACTCTGGATTTTACATTTTGAAGCATGATTACTATTTTATTGAAAAGCACATAGGAGTAACACACTATTTTAAATTATAGTCATTTTGAAGCCAAGTTGCAACTTATCCTGATTCTTTACGAATAGACTGGGTCCTTATTGGAAATCAATTGGAAGGCAGGTAAAATTAGATAGCCATGGTTACCAAAATATCAATAAGAGATAGAACAATATCCACTTCTAAGACTTACGCTAAAATAAAAAGAGAGTAAACTGAAAACGACATTTTCTACAAATGTCTAAGATGTAATGTCATTATATAAAATACGAAATACACAATAATGAAAAAAACATATTTTCATTATTATTTCCATCAAGATTATTATCAAAACAGGATTTTATATTTTTGAGTGTCTTAAAAACTGAAACTACACTAAAATGTAAGAACATAAAATAAACAACTTAAGCTTTAGCACTTTTCAGATATTTAATTAATATAGACATTAGGTAAGCAAGAAAAATTTTCAAATAATGTACTAAATCTGTTATACTGAATTTAAGAATTGACTGTATAAAATTAAATAAAAAATAGAAGGGAGCATTCATCACAAACATATTTAAATGTCACTGCGCATAGTCTTAATCCAAAAAGGCAGACTTACAACATAAACATTATTTGTAAAATATCTTCAAAACACATTACATGGTAAACTTACATTTTTAAGTTATTAAATCAACATGAGATCAAAATCTTCACATTAAAAAATAAAGTATACAGAGTTCCAAGATATAGAAACATACTAGCTAATGGTAGTAAAATGCTTCTGACAATTGTTTTAGATTTGTTTCTGAATTGTTCATTCTTTATTAATAAATATTTATACACAAATTATCTTCTCTCTATACAATTGTATCTACTTGGGCTTTTTTTGAGGAAAAGGCACAGCTATGAAATTTTATAGAATATACTAATAAATGTTAACAGTCCATCTCATTTACTCCTTAAACTTCAATTTAAAAAAAGAAATTCATGTGCCTAAAAGGTACAGTAATCACTGAAATATTTTTTGTATGAAAGTACTGAAAGATTCCAACAGTGTAATTTGTTGGTGTAATGTAATAGTTATATTACACTCGAGGCTACTAAGCATGCATTCCTTATCCTAATTAAATGTTCCAAAGGGCTAGATTTAACCTGCATAAGAGAGACATTTCAGTATCATGATACTTGTTTTCCTTAACATTTTTATTTCTCAACACCCTTAAACCTAAATACCCCTCTCTTTCCTAAAGTGACA